CCCCAAAACCCCAAAACCCCAGCAGCAAGCTGATGTCTATAAATCTCATTAAATAATTATATAAATATAAATAAATATTCTTAAAAATAAGAACACGAATAAATAATTTAGTATGGAATAGGAAATAGAACAAGTTTAGAAGATATAGCCAGTGGAGTAAGAGGAGTAGCAGACTCAAGAACAGGAGCAAAGCAACAACAATCTAAAGGTACCAGAACCTAAGGATGATGATGATGATTTTTAAGATGATTTAAACAAGTCTTACGAGTCTATGAAGAGTGATGAGAAAGACCCATTGCATTACAATATTGATTCTGACAATGAACCACCAACAGACACAGTAGGAGATAAGATTACTGTAATTAAGAAGGGTCAAGCCATCAAGGAGATTTTAGAGGTAGGAGAGGGTCTAGGAAAGCCTGGAAGACCTTATGAGGTTCTAATTAGCTACGTTGGCTACTTCCATGATAAAGTAGAGTTCTGTAGACAAGATGAGCCTATACGAATGGTTTTAGGTGATGCTGCATATCCTCACGGGCTTTGGAAATGTATCGAACATATGAGAAGAGGCGAGAAAGCTAAAATCATGATTAAACCTAAATGGGCATTTAAACATCCAGAATATTAAGAATATCTAAATTTCCCACCAGGATGGGATGAGGGAGAAAATAAAGAGATTCTTAAGAAAAGAAGAGTTTATTATGAAGTCAAGCTTTATGACTGGATAGTTAGGCATGATTTGAATGCTGATGGCATGCTGATAAAAACCGTTCATGATAGAGGAGTAGGGTATGATAGGCCTTTTGATTTTGACGAACTTACTCTTGACCTAAAACTATACCAAATAATAGATGGATAGGAAGTAGTCTATCAAAGGCTTGAGAATTAAGAGACACTGATGTATAACAAAGAACACATATCCTACACTGTGAAGAAGATTCTATAGTCCATGAAAACAAAGGAAAGAGTATCCTGCTTAGTCCGACCAAAATTTTTATTAGAAAAGGATTAAGAACTAGTTCATAAATATGGAATATTGACAGATAGAGTTTTGCATGTTGATATTGATATGAAGGAATTAGTTAGAGTGGAAGATCTTTACAAGGACTAGACTACATTTTATAAGACTCTAAAGAAAGGCTTTGGAACTGCTTCACCCTATATGGACTGTCTAGTTGCTCGTAAGTTGAATTTTCTCTAAATGCATTTTAGTTAAGGTGAAGATTGAAGTTGATGGAGAAGTCAAGTTTATCCACAATAACTTTGATTAGCTAGATTACACAGTTTTGAAGAGAGAAACAAACGCAGACGACGAGGAGGTAGACGTTTAGGAGCCAATATTCCCTGATAATGAATTTGAAAGATTCGATCTCGAGGATTACACTGTACCCTCTATTATTAGAAAGATACTGAAAACTACTAAACTCAGAGAAGTAGTTTAAGTCAGAACAATCAGAAGAGACAAGTTTGAGAACTACTTTGATGATAACACCAAATGCTTCAAGAAGGAGCAGCTCTAGTCCTTCTAGAAAGAGTTAGTTATCACCTTCGCCTTGCTAGGCTTCCAGCAAAAAGACTACATCTTTAAGCTCCTGATATCAGAGAAGGTCGAGAGATTCAATTACTTGAAGTCCGTGGCCACTAAGTTCTACAAGCTTGGAAACCTCAAGAAAGCCTTGAAAATTTACCTTAAAATTAACGCCTACTTCAGATCTAAGGACGCCAGAAATAACTTCCAAAAGGAAGATGAGTAATAGCTGGAATTCAGGGACAACAAGGATGAACTCAGCAGCATTAGCAAGGTTATTCTCACTAATATAAGCATCATTCATTTGAAAAAGAAAGACTACAAGGAAGTGGTCAAGTATGCTGATGATGTAAGTCTAATTAACCATTAATCTTAATAGGCCCTGGAAGTTGATCATAAATACTCTAAAGCCCTTTTCCTGAAAGGTAGAGCTTTGGTGGAGATGACTGAGTATACTCAAGCAATCGAAGTCTTCAAGGATCTTTTGGAGTTTGAACCAGAAAATGAAGAGGCTTAGAAGGAATTACAGAGAGTGGAGACTCTATACAAGAAGTACTAAGATAAAGAAACCAAGATGTTCCAAAAGATGTTCTCTTAGTGATGATCTTCAAGTATGATAAATATTACATTTTTAATATATCATTTTTCTCCACCTCTAAGAATTGTAAAGGTAGGGGTTTTGGGGTTTTGGGGTTTTGGGG